CCAAAATCAAACATTTTATCAGCCGAGCGCTCCGGCTGTCCCGCTCCTCTCCGGGCAGGACCTCCGCGAGGCGTTCCTGCGCCAGCATCCCATCCCTGCGCTGGGAAAGCTGGACGGCCCCGAAATACCTACAGGGAGGAAGGACACCTCCGCTTGCCCTGCGAGGCAGCCTGCCTGCGCAAACGCGTAACTGAAGAGCCGAGAAATCCTACCCACAGCCCGCTGGCTGCATAAATCTCGTTTATTTGACCTTCCTTGTTTCCTTCAAAAGCTGAACTGTCGGGCCGGGGGCCTCGCCGCTGATTTATGTTGCCTGTGCTGCAGATGGCTCAGCCGTGGCACACAGCTCGAATGCAGCTGCCGGGTATTTTTTTTTTTTATCTTTTCTTCTCCTTGCGTTTCCAATGCTAGGAAGCAACACGTGGCTATCTTTGGACAGCTCTTGGGTCAGACTCCGGCCCTGCCACCGCCTGTATTTGGGCCCCTTGCCGATGAATGGAGCGGAGCACATGCTGTGAAGCAGCAGCAGCCGGGGAGGGGTGCAGCTGCCCTGTGGGTGCAGGGGGCGGGGGGGAACACCCCCCGGATTTTGCAGCCGGTGCAGTATTATGTGATGAAGTGGCGCCAAGGGAGCACCACGGTCCCGGGAAAGCCTCCCAAGCCTTGAGTCATGGCTACGCGGGAGCGATAAAAAGCCTTCGTCTAACATTAGCCAAGTAAGTTGTGAGGCTCTTGTCGAAAAGCAGGGCTGGTAGCGCCCTCGAGCCCCCATCTGATCCATCCTCCTGTCCCAAAGCATGATCAACACTCCCTCGCATGATAAACACTTAGCAAAGCATTTCTGATCTGCTCTTAAAAGCCTGCAGTCATGAAGACTTGTTAATTATCAGGCCATGACCTGCCTTACAATGGCTCTCTTGTTCAGTCGTTCTCTGGTGTCCACCCAGCGATGTTCTCATGCCTCCCAAGACTAGGACTTCTTTTCCCTTCCACAATAGGAAAGATCAGGTTGTGCTCTCGCTCTTTCCAGAGGCAAAGCCTACTCCCTTCCCTTCTTTCAGTGGTTTTTCGGTAAGCAGCAGCTGTGCCTGTAGCCACCCTGCGCTGCTCTGCCTCCTCTAGCTTTCACGTCAGTTACCTCCGAGGTAACGTCCCCTTGGCCAATTTAGCCCACGATGGCTTCTCCGTGCACTTTTGCCATCTTGATTGCTAGCCCAGGAGGAACTGAAGATAAACAGCCATGAAAAATTGTGTGTCCAGAGAAGGGCAGCGGAGCTGGGGAGGGGTCTGGAGCCCCAGGCTGCTGGGGAGCGGCTGGGGGAGCTGGGGGGGTTCAGCCTGGAGCAGAGGAGGCTGAGGGGAGCCCTCATCGCTCCCTACAACTGGAGGGGGGAGCCGGTGCCCGGGGAAGGGTGCGAGTCCCCGCCCCCGGGGGGATTTAACAGCCGGGCAGCCGAGGTGCTGAGGGTCGGGGTTTAGTGGTGGGATGGCAGGGGTAGGGGAACGGTTGGGCTTGATCTTAAAGGGCTTTTCCACCCTAAATGATTCTACGATTCTGTGAAACTAAGGCAACTTAACCCTTTCCTAACATCTTGATTTAAAAACCTGAACCTGAACAGCAACTCCCTCCATCATACAGAAGATGAGGCAGAAGATTCTCACCATCAGGAACTCTCTGAACATCCTCCAATTCTTCCCCATCAGCGAAAGAGATGAGGTGAAGGCGGCCGCAAGGCGAGGAGGCTGTGGCACTTCACCGGCACCCGTGTCCTTCTGAGCTTGCAGCTTCTGAGAAATCAGAGCTACACCCTCAGCGCCATCAGGTTTGGATCTCACCGCCTTATTGCGTCAAGGGAGGAGCAACAGAGAGTCTCTCTTCCTGCAGATCAGTGAAATCAGTTTCTGCAGTGAAGTAACAGCTCCTGGGGACAGGCGCACCGTGCTAAATCATTACCGTCGTCTTTTGCAACTCGTAATTGCAAACAGATGTAGCTACAAATTGTCACGGGGAGCACCACTGCTATTTGTCTGGACTGTGCCAGGTACAAACGGGCCCTAGGCCATACATGGTGTCCTTAGGTGCTGCCACCATTTCTAGATTGGTGTTTTCCCCATCCACAGGAGATTTTCAGATTTTTGGCTTCAGCACAAAGCAACTTCTAAAAGCTGGGGTGTTTAAGGACGGTGTGGTGGTAGCATGGAAATAAGAGGAGGGCTCTGGGGACCTTTTTGGAAGATAACATTTGAGGTAGAATGGGAAAGGACAATCAAGGTCCAAAAATCAAAGCTTCTGCAAAAATATTAATGTATTTTCAGACACAGAAAGGTCTCACTGTAAAGCCCATTTTTGTTTTTAAAGGTATCACTTTGCTATCCATCCAGCTATTTATCTACTTTCCTTTCCTCAGCTCTGTTTATAATGTAAGGAGAAACAAGAAGTAGCCAAGAGCAGACTGGTATCTCTCGAAGCCTTGGACATGGGCAAACCTTACGGGTTGGCGCCACAGGCTCCCATTTTCTCAGACGACAATGGAACGACAGAACCGTAGGAGGGTGATGCTGCTACACCTGACCTCGGTACAATTTGCTGATCTGTGAAGCCAAAACTATGACCCACGTGCAACAAGTCAGAGCGCAACCTGTTTCCATGAAAGTAAACAGCCGTCACACACACAAGAAAATCCCCCGTGGGCTGTCTTGAGATGCTGCAGGGCTTTAGAAGGCAACGGGAACTACTATTCTGAGCCCTAGGTCACAGTTTCCATAATGTTCACTTTGATTAACATATCAAATCTCTGCTGAAGACATCAAGGAGAAACATGTAACTGTTCACCTCTGTTTAAAGACAATGCTCAAACCAAGAACCACCCCAGGTACGAGTCCAGAACTCATCTTCGCAAACTTGGTGGACATCAGACATGCCAGGAGTGGAAAAAATGTTATGTGGCGATTCAGGCTTGGGGACAAGAGAAAACAAAACAGGGGAGGAAAAGCCAATGTGGAGAGAGCCTGTCATCGCTGTACTTGCACCACCAAAGAGGGGACGCCAGGAAAAAGCACAACCCAGAGCCAGGACAGGGCAAGAGGCAAAAACCAGACTTCCGGATCCGTTCAATTCTAAGCGGCAATGGTCAACCGAATCCTGACAGGGACACCTCCTGGTGAAGGTGCCACCTGGAGGCCAGTTCCAGGCATGCATCACGTGTGGAAAAAGAAATGATAAAGAGAACAGTAAATTGCGGGATTATTTTATGAAAAGTAGGTGATGTTTACAAATGCAAGGCTACACGAACCCCTAAAAATGAGCACGCTTGCTGGCAGGTCACAAGTGTGCCCTCTGACAGCAAGAAGAGTTAAGGCAGAAAGCTGCAGAAGTACAGTAAGAATTCCAAAATGTTTTACTAGTGCAAATAAATAGACAGCAGAAGGGAAGTCTTCCACGCAGGCCACTTCAGGTGAACTGGAGTTTACTGGGCCCTGGCACCTCAAAGAGTCAGCTTCTCAACCTCCTTTGAGAACTCTGCATCCAAGGCATTCTAGAGGGAGGGGAAACCAAGAGGAATCAGTGACCGTGAAACAGTTTTTCTTACATTCTTGATAGACAAAGTTATCTACAGAGGTCAAACCTTGGGATATTATTAGCACCAATTAACCCAAGTACTGGCATGGAAGGTCCCACTACTGCAAACAGCAGTAGTCTCTGTAGACAGCTCCAGAGAACTCTCCAAATGAAGGGCTAAACCAGCTCCGTCACTTCATGCTGTGCTCCGGTGTGATATTAGACACCTTCAGGCTGAACAGGTACACGCCAGAGTTGAGGATTCTGACCTGATAAAAGCTTCAGGCTGGTAAGGTGGTGTCCTAGTTTCGGCTGGGACAGAGTTAATTTTCTTCCTCGTGGCTGGCATAGCGCTGTGTTTTGGATTTAGGATGAGAAGAACGTTGATAACTCCCTGGTGGTTCAGTTGTTGCTGAGCAGGGCTTACACCAGTCAGGGGCTTCTCAGCTTCCCCTGCTCTGCCAGGGGCACAAGGAGCTGGGAGGGGGCACAGCCAGGACAGCTGACCCCCACTGGCCCCAGGGCTATGCCAGACCATAGGGTGTCATGCTCAGCACATAAATCTGGGGGGAGCTGGCTGGGGAGCTGCGATTGCTGCTCGGGGATGGGCTAGGCATTGGTTGGTGGGTAGTGAGCAGTTGCATCACTTGTTTTTCCTGGGTTTTGTTTCCTTTTTTTTGGTGTTGTTTTCCTTTTCACTACAATTTGTTATTATATTTTATTTCATTTCAATTATTCAACTGTTCTTATCTCAACCCACAAGTTTTCTCACTTTTGACCTTCCGATTCTGTCCCCCACCCCACCAGGCGAGCCGGCTGCTACCAGGTGGTGCCTGGTTGCTGACTGGGGCTAAACCACAACAAGCAGGTTTGTATTTCTGAATCAAAACCCAAGTGGCTTACCAACCTCAGCAGTCCCATCTAAACACATACAAAATACTCTCAAATAGCTGTGATTTTTGCTCCCAGCTTTAAGGCTTATCACTGAATACCCTGCGCTTTAGCTATGAGCAAGCAGACAGTAGCCCACAGAAACAAAGACAGGTTTTATGCTCAGATGTGGCCTGGCTCACCCAGGAACGCAACTTATGAACTTCCCAAACAGCTTCACATGGATGTTTACCAACAACCACACCTGCAGATTGCACAAGCATGGATGAAATGGGCGTTACGCTTTGTAGGGGAAGGTCCCCATTGCAGCCTACAAGGCAGCTGTAAAATAAAATACGGGCCCTAGAGCCCTCAGAGAGTTCGGGAGCAGCAAGGAAGGCTGTGGGACCAGTAAGCTGCAACACAGATGAGTGAATAAACATTCTGACAGGTGAAACGGACAAAATCCAGAGGGATATAGATACCTAATCCCCACTGATACCATCACGCCCAACTGCCTTTGTGCCTTAGATACCATTCCTCCACCAGTTCCTCCTACCAACATGCATGGCTTCTGCCTCACCGGAGCAAAATTTCCCTCTAGAGATCATTAAGGCTACAATCAGGGGTAGATAAGTCCACAACCAATTAATATACGTTGCTTGTTTTGGAACAACAGCACTCATTTAAATCTCTGTGAAAGATAAAAAAAAAACCTTACCAGTTCTCGTTTTAATTCTTCAACCTTCACTTGTGCAAGGGCAAGACTCTAGTGAGAAAAAATGGCACAAAAAAACCAAATCAGTATTTCAGCTGGAAACACAGAGTCCCTGCATCATTGCAAGAGTCTAGTGATGTGCCACAGGGGAACTCAGGAGTAATCAAATCAGTTTTGTCTACACCACTCACATGCAAAAGGTACTGACATTAAAAGCCTATTATCAGTTTACTTTGGACAATCGCGTATTTTTCAAAAGTCTGGTATGGCCTAAAGTCTAAACAAACCCTGGTTTTAGCAATTTTCCAAACCTACCAATCAAGGCACTGGATTTTAAAACATATCTGTGCATGAATTTTCCAAAGCACAATAAGCTCACAAGGATAAGCCTGCCCCCCTCCTTCTGCCTGCGCCAGAAGAGGGGCATTGGGGCTCTCCCTGTCTCCCTTGACAGACGGGAGGGAGGGGGGAATTGGCGAACCTAATCCAATTTGAACGTCCTGTTTCGCTTGAGGAAAGGAGACAGCTGCCTCTTGGAGTGAGATGCATTTAAAGGAGAAGCTGGCCCACCCTCTCCCTTCCTCCCTTTCTTCTAGGGGAGAGAAGTGCTGAGAGGCAGGATCTCAATGGAGGGGCTAAGGAGGTGCAGGGAGAAGTGCAGCCCGGCAGACGGGTCCCTAGTTCATAACACAAGAGATGCAATTAATTGCAGAGTTTCTATGTGATTTTGGAGAAGCGTCTTTTGTTTCTCTGGACCTCTATGCCCCATTTATAAGAACTGGAACAAACCTGTTTTACCTCTTACAAGGAAAGGTCTGAGGTTAGTTCTGTTAGAGGCTGTGGGGTGCTCAGACGAGGAGGTAACAGGGACCTTATGAGGTAACCCAAATAAAAAACTGTAAACTAGACAGTCACAATTGTATTTGATAAAACCAAAACCCATACAACTGTCTTCTCCAGGTTTGGCTACCTCTCCCCCGAATGACAAAGAGAAAAGTCCTTAATACTTATCTGTAAAAGCAATGGCAGTCTTCCCAAGGAGATTGGAAATACTTGGGTTTAGTGGACCCGAGTATCACAGCTGGTGACGCACAGATGTTGCACAACGCCAAGGCCTTCTGTTTCAAGGACTAAAGCCTTGTTTACCCGTGACTTCTTTAAGCCACTATAAAGTTGTTCACAGCATTACCCGTAACTGAAACAGCCCTTCCTATCAAGCGTTCCGATTTGAAAAGAGCAAAATCCTTTTCACAACAGATGCTTCACACAGTAGCCTGATACTAACTCCTAGTGCAGAGACCAATAGTGACAACAGCCAAAATATAAAATGAAGAAAAAGATACACAGAGAGGGCCTTTCAAAAACTGCAACTTAGTGACCTAAAGGAGAAACCTGCATTTTCAGAGAGCTGAGTGCCCAGCACCCTCAAAAGAAGTCAAAGAAAATGACGGAGCCGCCAGTACTTTTTTAGGAGACAATGCCTACATTTGGCTTTTTCTTCACCATAGTTAAAACCTGGCTTAGACCTCCAACCTCTGCACAATGTGCACCAAACTGACAGCCTGATGGCATGCATAGCTAATGTATTGGTAAGTCTCAAAAAATTTGTTATACTAAGTAATTACATTTTCTTCCACACTTCTTTGTCTAATTTCTAGCTAACTCACCTTGCTAGTGAGCTCAACCAGCAATTCTGTGCATTTTGTTAGTTTGCCTTGTGACCATACTTAACGTCTTGGCTTTGATTAATAAATAGATAGCCTTCTGTTTAACTCCTCTGTTTACACCATTAATAAGACCTGAAGGACGTCTACCTGCCCACTGAAACCATCACAACAATATCCTTTACATTCTGAAGTCCACTAAAATTAATCTGATGGAAATAACAGAACAGTGGAAAAGATAATTACAGGAGGTAAATCTAGGTAGGACTCCAGTTTCTTCTTCAAAGGTACAAGTTCTTCCTGCACTCTAGCCAGTTTCTGTGAAGAGAGCAAGGCAGATTACATACTTTAGTCTTACTTGTAAAAATTATGTACATCAGTGAAAAAGATCCACAATTATCTACAGCATTTCAGAATTCACAGATGTTGGTGAGAGCTTTCACGATCCGTCGTGAAAGGCATGGAAAACCAAAGATCTGCTATTCATTCGGCCATCAGTTGGTCAAACCCAGTTCAAATTTTACACAGAGGTATCAATTAGTTTTTCGTCATTCTGAAGGCATTTTCAGATGTCGTTTCTTACAGTATAACCACGTCACCTCACCTCCCTGAAAGAAGAGGGGATTTCAGATGAGAATCCACCAGACAGAGGACTTTCTCTGTCAACCTTACTGTAGGCCAGAGGGAACTAAGCCCCAAGGAAGGGGATACATTCTCATGCTCATGGCTTCTGTGTAAAAACAGTTTTGCACGTGCAGCAGCAAGAAGACTCCCCTTACACTTGCACTGCTTTGCTTGTTCTGTTAACAAGGGGAAGTAATGCCTCTCTCTGGGGCTGAAAACTGAGCACCCTCCACAGCCCTCAGCCCTTTTCAAATAATCAACTCAAAGTTAAAAAAAAAAAAAAAAATAAAGCTCTCCAAAGATAGAGCCGTTTGTGCTGCCCAATTCGCTGAGCTGTTGGCAAAGCAGATACAGAAATGTCCAGGAGTCAGACCTGCCCTTATGCTCAGGTTCTAGGAGACAACAAGTCTAGAAAACCACCTACAACTTTTTGTATGTAAAATTCCAGCACAAATGATTTTTGGCTGGGACTCTGAAATGCTGTGCAATGTAAACATTGCCACCCAGTGCTGGTTCACGAGAATGACAACATCAAAATCAGGAAGCCTATTGTCATTGTTCAACTTGACTTACAGGAAGGAAAAAAGAGCAAAAGAAATGGAGAGAAAGACTAAGTTCTCATTACAGTAACAGCAAATAATATTAAAATGTGGTGAGCACAGCCAGAACAACACAAATACACATTACAAGTGTACAAATGCTTCAGCACACACACGGAGAATCTATAAGCTAGTAACTCAAGAAATGTGCTTTTTCCTTTAACAAACTATCCCACTGGGCTTACAATACAGCTGAAAAATATTATATTTAAAGACACAAGAGAAAAAAAGCACAGAGCAGTTCAGAATTTGGGTTTCACTTGACCTCCTCCCCTCCTCTGAAGTGTTTGAAAGCAGGTTTATTTCACACAAACTTGAAAGAATTACCTGGGTCGTTCTATCAATGATGGCAAGACACAGGCAGCCATGTAACAGGATATAGTCCACAGAACACCCGCTCTCTTTATAGCACAGATCAAAGAGAGGAGGCAGATTGTAGGCTGCCAATTTTCTTTCAGTGGCAGGGAATTTATTCCATGGAAATTCTCTAGTAGGGTGTATTCCCAATTGCCGACAGAGGCAGAAAGAGAGGGAAAACCAAAAGGCAACAAATATTCCAATTGTTCCCCTCAATCAGTCCAGAAGAAAAGCTTCTTCCCAAATCCAAAATAAAACCACGTCTAACCCTGAAGAAAAGGTTCCACTTCAGCACCCATAGATGCCTCTTCAGTTTCTAGGAGAGACAGACCCATCCAGCATACCCCAGTTCAGAGGTATCCCTCTAAGGGATTTTTATTTGTGCTTCTTTTTACCATTAGTATTTTGTCAGGGAACCAAATAGCAAACTACACTTCCTGAAACCACACAACAAACAAGCCTGGTCCATAGCACTGTAGAAACATCCACCTTGTACCAAAAGACCTACCTCAGACAGGTTCACGAGTGCCTCATGTGTCAGCGACTGGTCTAACCCCGAGCTAATAAGCTGGTCCTACAAAGAGGAAAGAGTTTGTTTGTAACTGACCACAAAATGTAACAGAGAAAGATTTTACCATTTCCTTGGGTTTTGATCTAAACACGCAAACAAGAACGCAGTTTGTCAACAACAGGAATGTGTGCTATTTGAGCCACAGCTATAGCTGGTATATGAAATCAGTGGCTGCTAAAATTTGTATCAAGAATAACAAAGTCTTTCCAGAAAACTACTAGGAGAAGAGCACATAGCAAGGCTGGGAGAAGGCTTTTCAGTAAAATGTCATCAACTCCAACACAACGTTTTCCATTTCATGTTTGTCAAAGTATCGGACAGCATCCAAGTGTTAAATAAAGCATTCACGTGTCCTTCATCATGTAGGAAAGGTGAAGACAATACAGTGTCTGCCTTCTGTGTTTAACCATTCATTAATTTAAAAAAAAGGCTATATTCAGAATTTTGACACGCAATTTATCTCAGTGAATCAGCTGCTCTATTGGTAGCTGTCTCTGTACTCTTACATGACAGCACCTCACAATAAGCAGAAGGCAGTCTGAGCTAATACAGTTCTCAGTGAAAGAAGAGAAAGTGTCCTTGCATTTATCATAGGATGTCCTGGAGAGAGATCACAGATATAGCAGAACAACTGAAGTGTAGTAACACACTGTCCTGTTAGCCCAAGATTCCTAAATCCTGGAGTTTAGGAAGCTCCACGGATGTCTTTAACTACGATTTTGGGCGCAACCAACCGCGACCGCGCCATCCTGCAACAATGTCTTGTTAGAAAATTCCTTCCGTCTACCTCAGCAGCCTTGATCCTGATTTTTAAATCCTCAGATTTATCTCTCAGGAACTTCAAGTTCTGGGATCGGCTGTCAGCTCTGGCCCTTCCTATTTCCAGAGATTCCTCTGTTTGTTTAAGATCCCTTAAAAATAATACAAAAAGAAACAAACTTTTACATTCAAAGAGATACCAGGATATGAATACTATTTAATTACCTATGCTCAAGCTAAACCCTGTAATAGAACCAACAAGAGAAGGAAGAGAATGGAGAAAAACTTGTATTTTCCTGTGAGATTTCCCAGGCGAAACATCCAGAGCTGTTACATCCTGAGTCCCAAAGGCCAGAAAAAAGAAAAGGTCCAGGGGAAAGCCACCTGCACAGAAGCAAATAGTAATGGTCTTCTGCATAATTCCCCAATTCAGTTAGAGACGTGTTACACAAACTAAACTGAAGATCACAGAGAGCAGCACACAGGCCTGGTATCCTTGCTAGAGGGAGCACCACAATTACTACTTTAAAAGACAAAAACCAGAAAATAATTAGACCGGAAGGGGGACTGTGGAGATCATCTGGGCCAATCCCTACTCAAGGCACGGGTTGATCCTACTATGCTTGGCACAGCACTTCAGATTACTTAATAGCTACTTTTTTTGTTTTGAAGTCTCCCATGCACTGGTTAAAGCAAATTCTTACCTGGGAACAGTTTTTGTTTTGCCTGGCTCCTTCACTCCGACTACAGAGCCTGTGCTAAATAAAATCAGGTTTGCCTTCAACCTCAAAGGTGGAAGATGCCAGCAAAAATCTGAGAACTGCTTGTAGACCATTCTCAGTTTAAAGTAATGGGTTTGAGGGTATCCCAGATCTCTTTTGATTACTGCACGTGTTGATAGCACGTGCTTTTTGATAGATACTTCCAAATATTGTGAATTGGAGATGTGTCAAAACCCTGAAAATTCAGTTATCCTTAGTTAGCACAACCGATGTTCCACACTGCAGGGATCAGCAGTATTGCTTATACCTTTCCTTTTTCTCATCCATTACTCACGCTTTTAATTTCTCTTCTAGCATCAATGCTGCAGTTAGTTTTTTCCTGAGGTTGGTCAATTCCCGTTCCAGTTCTCTGTTTTCTGATTCTGTTGTGTACAGCTCCGAAGTCATATGATTGATGGCACAGAAGAAGCTGGTGAAGAGAGATTCAGTGGGAATGTTCATGAGTCAGCTCTTCTGAAACTCAGAACTATTATTTTCTCCAAACTTTCCATAAATGCCTTTTTTTTTGTTCTCATATTATGATACATGAGGTAATCGCCAGCTATTTTAGATGAGGAAAGTAAAGTAAGTCACTAAGGGTATTTGCTTCCCTTAACTAAGATTTCATCTGGAAGGGGAAACAGCCCAGAATTTTCAGTAGGAGGCAGTGCACAAGACCTGGCACTTGTGAGTAGAGCCACTGGGTTTGACATAAGCAGATGCTCTACTCCTGGCCTGCCAAATTGCCTTTGACACAAACTGCATTCAGTCCCTGAAAATGCACATCCCTGAGACACACCCAGCAGTACTTCAGCCTCCTCGTCTTCCCAAATGGTTCAAAGCCGCTTGCTCCTCCAGCTCAGAAGAGCTGTAAGAGCCAAGCTCCTGAACATCAGACAAAATTTGGATTCCAACGCAGACTTTGGCCCTTCCTTACTGCCAGTGTTCAGCACAAACCTGCTGTGTCAAAGCCAGGCTAGGGAGAGGGGCCCAGGAACAGCAGGCTCACAGCTGCCATTTCTCTGCGGCCGAGCCAAGGAAATCGCCTTACATTAACTGAGGCCAGGCAAGAGAGGGAAGAAAGAGGAGCTGAGACAAAGACCAGTTACAGTTCCTCAGTCCTTGCCTAAGCAGGATGAAACCTGCTCTAGCTTGTGCTGCCTGGCACAGGAGTCTGAGGGGCAGAGTCCTGCAGCCACTGACCACAACAACGGGGGCAAAAGAGGGATTTAAATGTGGCTGAGGCACCTCCCAGACTTCAGAGACCTCCTTTGCTGGAACCACCGATAGTTAGAGCTTTGTGCTCAGTTCCAGTGTCCTCTGAAGCTGCCCAGGGGGCGTAAAAGCTGGACAAGTAAGATTCCTGGTGCGAAAGTCAAGTTTGAAACTGTTGAATTGAAAAACCAGAGGGAAATAGCACTGACCATCACTCCTGATGCATGGTGGGAAGATTTACCTGGCAAGAGAAGTGTCCTTTGTGTTAAGTGCCATTGCACTGTTTACTAGGGCTTTGAGGTAACTGGCGCCTTCTCTGGACAGATTGGCTGGAGAAAGATGCAGGGTTTCTATGAGAAGGCCCTGTAGATAGTTAGCTGGAAAACAAATACAACCCAAAGTAGTATTTTTTTTATATTGCTGTTCTTTTAAGTACTGGATGGGAAACTCTCTTTTAATACAAGTGTTAAAAATTTATTATGGTTCCCTGAACCACTCACTTGCTCCAAAAACCCCCACATTATCAAACACTCACTTTAGACAGCTTGAGTATAACTTAATCACCTCGCTGTTGTTTCAGATTCCTCAAGTGCTCTCCTTAACAGTGGATTAGCACCAGCTCAGACTCTTAAATCGGCTGTAGGGTTGCTTCCCTGTCCACCCGGCCAATATTTCAATTCTGTGCTACTCAGCACAGCAGGCTAGGTAGTTCTAGCAATTAATCTGCTTATCTGTATTTACAGCCTGCTCAGGATGGCTTAAAAATGCTCTTGACCAACCTTATGTCACTATAAATTTTGCTGAAAGGAAGGCATGGGATACATTGTAGTAAAAGCTGTACCAGAACAAAAAACAAAAGCTGAATTCTTTCCAATTTATATATATATACACACACATATATTTATTTTGAGATATATATGTTTCTTTATTTGTTTTAAGATTTTACAATCTTCAGGGTCACTAAGAAAAACTAACTTTGATGGAACTGAGAAGTGGAGCTTCAAACTCACCTTCTGCTTTATATTCTGCTGTCTTCTCCTTCATGTCCTCTATCAGCAAAGAAACATCCCTGTCTCTGGCTTCATTGCATTCTAGAAGCTTATACAAGATATCAACTGTCCTTGCATTCACTTCATACTGTGGAATAGGCTGACTCCCATGTATTTTCTTTAGCCATAACGTAACCTGCCAGAGAAGGGGGAAAAAAATAAAATAGATTAAACAGTCCGGTGAAATGACAGAAAATAGCTGATAGGTGTGAGAACTGTAAAGTTCTGCAAGCTCTGCATTCCTGAAGAATAACTCTACTACATCAGTCGAGGCACAGGTGGAAAAGGGGAAGACAGCTTCTCTTCTCTCTTCTTCAAACACTCTCTGTAGTTTAGAAAAACATTTCTCTTTTAATCTCCCTCGTTTCTCTGGACACCTGCTTATCTCTTTTTATTCACATGACCTGTTTGCTACAGACACAGTAATGGTCCATGAGATGTTAAATGAGTATTTGGGCAGCTGGTGAAAACCGCATTAAAACAGCATGGGATAAGACTGCCCGAACCATGATAATTGGGAACAGTCTCTACAGGCTAGTGGGGGAGAATTACAACAATGCTCAGGCATGAGCCCCACAGAGCGCAATTTCTACCACTGAAAGGAAGGTCAGAAATGGGAGAGAGATCAACACAGTGCTCTCAGGTAGCACTGAGAGATTAGATTACGACTAACATGCTCTAGGACAACCTGCTTTAGCAGGAGGGTTGGACTAGATGATCTCCTGAGGTCCCTTCCAACCCTTGCGATTCTGTGATTCTGTAACAGTAACTGAACACATGGAAGTTCAACACTAAGGAAACATAAATTCTCATCTCAGGCTATCTCAGCCACCTGATGATGGGAAAGGCCTTGTAACTTAAAAAGACATTTCTTTCCAGTGCATCCTTCTCTATGCTTCCACCACACCAGCATCTCAGCTAACACGCACCGCACGCGGCAAACATCACCCCGAGCTTTCCTGGGGAGAAAACCACCAAGCCCTTAGGAGCGAAGAGCACTAACTGCATGTAGATGAAAACCTCCAATACTGCAAAAACACCAAGTTCACGACCAAAGGATGAACTGCACCTTTCCGCCGCCTTCCATAAGGACACTGATTTAACCTCAGGCACCCAAGATCTTTATAACCCAGCATTTTAAGCCAGCTGTGAGCTCGTACTTAAAGCCCAGCGTGCTCGGGCGGGTACCTACTCGGCAGCAAAGGACGAGGGGGGTGAACAGACCCACCCAGCGACCGCGTCGCGCCCGCCCCGCAAGCTATAAAGCGGCAAGAAAACCACCCGGGCTCGTTTCTGCTCTCAAACCCGCCAAGC